GGCTGCTGCTGGGGGAGGAGGAGGAGGGAGGGAAGGGCAGGGATGGAGGGGGAGGAGGAGAAGGAATGGAAGGGGCAGGATGGAAGAGGAGAAGGAGGTGGGTATAACACAGAGGAGCTCGAGGAGGGATGGAAGGGGAGGAGAAAGAGGAGGGAAGGAGGCGGGGTTACAGGGGAGGAGGAGAGGGAGGAGGGATGGAGGAGGAGAAGGAGGTGGGGATAAGACAGAGGAGGAGCGGGAGGAAGAGGTGGGACAAAGGCTGATCAAGGGTGAACAGATGGAACCGCGCTGCAGCCCTGCCTGAATTCGCAGCCCCCACCTGTGGGATCATCGCCCCCCCCCCCCCCCCCCCCCCCCGCGCCCATCGTGCAGGTTAGCGGGGAGGGGGAGCCCGGCCCAGACATCCCGAGGAGTCCCTGGGTGGGGTTTTTGGGGGGATGTTTGGAGAATGAAGCAGTCCAAGGCTGAGCGGAAAAGGCCCCTCAGGGGGACATCAGGGGGTGCCGGTGGCGGCTGCCGCCAGAGGCAGCCTGGAGGAGCAGAGCCCTGTGTGCCCCAGGAGCCCAAAGTGGGGAGCCCAGAGAGGGGGGAGCGCCGCCATTGGCGGGAGCCTCAAGAGCCTGGAGAGGGGCAGGGGGGAGTCCTTGGAGCCGCTGCAGCCCAGAGCAGAGAATGAGGGGAGAAGGGAGCCCAGGAGCCCAAACAGCCCTGCATCCCGAAATGGGGAGAGCGAAGAGGGGGGAGCTTTTGGCATCGCTGGGACTGCCAGCAGCCTGGGCAGGGCAGGCACCAAGGAGAAGGGGCACCCCCAATCCAAGCGTGACCCCAGCAGCTGGGACAGGGGGGAACCCCCGAACACCAGAGGGGAGGGACCAGGGACAGGGAACTCCTGGGAGGCTTTTCCAGGGCTGGATCTTGGTGTTTGGGAGGTTTTTATGGAGCCCACGTGGCCAGTGACTTGTAGAGATGGACTCAGGCAGAGGGACATTCAAACTGAACATGTGTTGGGCAAGATGAAACAGGGAAGCCTCATAAATATGATTGGCAAAAGAATTTGAGAATATTGAAACTCTGAGCAAGATTGAGATGGAAGCAAGCTTTGAGATACCTTAGTGAACAACTGGAAAACAATGGTGTGGCCTGACTGAAGGTAATCCCCTTTTGTTGAAACAATTCCCTCTGCGTGCAGACAGACCCAGGGGTCAGAGCAGACCCTAATAGCTCAGCAGAAGGGGTCCAAAGCGGTGTGTTTAGGGTTTAAAATGTAGCACAGTATCATGATGTAATGATTCTTGCAGGCTGTATGTAAATGCTCTAGGATTTGTATCTTGTACTAGATTGCTTAGTGAGAAATAGAATATTCAACAGAGAAGAAGATTTGTTGTATTGTAATGGGAAGCTTATTCTCTTACGCTCTTCCCCTCTTACTCTCTCACCCTCTCATCCTCTCTACCCCGCTCTTCTCTCGGGCCCGCTCCGACCTGTGGCTGGCAGCTCCAAGCAGGGCCCTGCACCCAGGCCCTTTGCAATAAACCGCAACTTCCACGCCCTGGCTGCAGAGATCTCTCGTTTCCATCCGTCCCGACCGTCCTACCCCTCAACACTCCTACAAATGTGCTCATCCCTTGTTTTCCCCAAACCAGAATTTCCCATTGCCAACCCCTGGGATGCTGCGAGGAAGAGGGAGATGCCCCGGGACACTGAGGCAGGTGAGGAGGAAGTCAGTGCCCCTTTCCCCTCTGTGCTGCTCCATCTCCAAGCCCAGCACGGCCCCGGCTGCAGCTCAGCCCTGGGGGAATCTCCTTGCCCTTGCCTGTGGCACGGAGGCAAATCCCATCCTGTCCTTGTCCTTCCTCCCCCAGAGCAGGAGCTGAGCATGGAGAGCAGGGAGGACAAACGCCTGTGGCAGAACCTGGTGGAAGAGGCCGTTTTGAGCAGCTCCACGGCGCAGGAAGGCAACGGGGAGGAAAAGCCCTGGAGATGCCGCACGAGGAGGGGCTGCAAACGCAGCTGGCGGGGATCTGAGGGGGAAAGAGCCAGCCTGGGCCGGGAAGGCGGCCGGAGATGGAGCCAGAGCTCGGAGCTGGTACTCCATGAGCAGCTCCATGATGGGAAGAAGCCCCATACGTGCGTGGAGTGTGGAAAGAACTTCAGGTGGAACTGCGACCTGATTGTGCACCAGAGGACCCACACTGGGGAGAAGCCCTATGAGTGTGGGGAGTGTGGGAAGAGCTTCAGGTGGAGCTCCAACCTGATCAAGCACCAGAGAATCCACACTGGGGAGAAGCCCTATGAGTGTGGGGAGTGTGGGAAGAGCTTCTGTGGGAGCTCCAGCCTGATCAAGCACCAGAGGATCCACACTGGAGAACGGCCCTTCGAGTGCGGGGAGTGTGGACAGAGCTTCAGCCAGCACTCCCACCTGATCTCGCACCAGAGGACCCACACTGGGGAGAGGCCCTACAAGTGTTCCAAGTGTGGGAAGGGGTTTCAGACCAGCTCCCATCTCGTCCGGCACTATCAGAGTCACACAGAGGAGAGGCCCTTCCAATGCCCCGACTGTGGGAAGGGATTCAGGTGGAACTCCACCCTCGTCAGGCACAGGCGCATCCACACTGGGGAGAAGCCCTACGAGTGTGATAAATGCAGGAAGAGGTTTCAGACCAGCTCCCATCTCCTCCAGCACTATCGCATTCACACAGAGGAGAGGCCCTTCCGCTGCCCCGAGTGCAGGAAGGGATTCAAGCACAACTCCACCCTCGTCAAGCACCGGCGCATCCACACTGGGGAGAGGCCCTACGAGTGTCCCCAGTGTGGGAAGAGCTTCTCCAGCAGCTCTGACTTGACCCGACACCAACGGAGGCACCGGTAAGGGAAGCCCTGCAAGTGCCCTGAGTGCGGGAAGAGCTTCGTGCGCTGCTCCAGCTCCATCCCCCACTGGAGAAGGCACTCTGGGCAAAGCCCTGGTCACTCCCATTCCTTGTGATCCATGTTGGTAACACACCTGGCAGCTTTTACTTTTGTTTTGGCCCTAATGTTTCTAGCTTCTCTATCTCTTTGCACTTGAAAAGTCAAGAGAGATGGATCTGTCACCTGAAAACCACTGAAATCCCAGTGAAAACAACTCGATCTTACCCAAAAGGGCTCAATCCCACCTCAAAAAAACTCAGTGCCGTACCAAACTCACTTGATTCCTCAGCCACCTAAGTAAGATGGGGCTGGGAGGAGATTGGGAGAAGTGGGATCTCAGTTAGAGCGGTGGGATGAGGATTGTGTGGAGCTGGGTGTGTGGGATGCATTTGATAGCAAATAAAATTTTCAGACTTACTGATTTCTCTCCCGTTCATGTTCAGTCCGTTGCAGTTCTGTTTGCAGAGTGCCGCCTTCTCAGCTCATTGTGTTTGTGTCCCCTTTTCTCTCCTGCCTCTCTTTGCCTGCTTTGTTTCTCTCTCAGTGTCTCTCTTGACCCAGGGACCACCATAGATCCTCCCCTGATTTAATTGACCCAGGCACCCCCCGAGACCCTCCGTATATTTAATTGCCTCAGGGACCACCAAATACCCTCCTTTGATTTATTGCCCCAGTGACCACCAAAGATTCTGCCCTCATTCAATTGACCCTGCCCTGATTTAATTGACCTCTGCCCTGTTTTAATTGACCCCTCTGCCACCAAAAACCCTCCCCATATTATTTATTATTTTATTTCCCAAATATTATTTTAATTCCCAGTCCCAGGAGCTGAAGTCCTGAAGGCTGGCAGGGAAATGTCTCTGTAGGATTTTGCTCCATTTGCCTTCAAGGGCGGGAACATCTTTTCCTGTCTGGGAGCTGGAATTCCAGCCTTTTGGAATGTATGCCGAGCAATACAGACTGGCATATGGACTGGGATCAAATGGATTGGGATCAAATATGGACTGGGATCAAATAGGGACTGGGATCATATGTACTATCCCGAATTTCCTCATTATCCAAAAATTCCCATAATTCTGGAATTTATGTTATCCCAAAATTCTCATTATCCCAAATTTCCCATTATCCCAAATTTCCCCATTATCCCAAAATTCTTGTTATCCCAAATTTCCCATTGATCTGGAATTTCTGTTAGACTGGAATTCCCGTTATCCCAAATTTCCCCTTGATCCCAGAATTCCCATTATCCTGGAATTTCTGTTATCCCGGAATTCCCATTATCCCAGTTCCCCATTATCCCACTCTCCTAGTTCCCCCCATTATCCCAGTCCCCCACATTATCCCAGTTCCCCCCTTATCCCATTTTTCCTGTTATCCCAGTTTCCCCCGTTTTCCAGTTCCCCCCCACCCCGCTATCCTGTGCCCCCCAGTTATCCCAGTTCCCTACTCAGCGGATGCCTGAGAGACTGGAATCCTATGCACTGGGACAAACTGGAATGGGATAGCCCAGACTGGGATCCTATGGACTCGGATTATATGGAACTGGGATCCTATGGACTGGGATAAACTGGACTGGGATAGCCTGCACTGGGATCCTACGGAAAAGGATAAACTGGACTGTGATAAACTGGAATGGGACCAAGTAGGGATTGGGACTGTATAAACTGGAACCCTGTGAAATGGGATCCTATAGACTGGGACTGCACAGACTGGGACCATATGGATCCAGGCCATACACACTGGGATAAACTGGTCTGAGATTCTATGGACTGGGATCCCACCAAACTGGGATCGCATGGACCGGGACTGGAGAAATAGGGATGGCACGGAAGAGGAGGGATAACGGAGATCGAGAAAGGATGGAAAAAAGAGGAGTAGGTGGGGTTAGGGAGGAGCAGGAGGAGGAGGAGGGGTAAAATGGGAGGGAAGAAGGAGGAGAAGGAGGGAGGGTCAGGGAGGAGGAGGAGGAGGGAGGGAAAGGGAGGGACAAAGGAGGAGAAGGAGGTGGGGAAAGAGGAGGGGGAGGAGGGATGGAAGAGGAGAAGGAGGTGGGGTGAGGGAGAAGGAGGAAGAGAGGGGATGGAACAGGAGGAGCGGGAGGAAGAGGAAGAGGAGGGACAAAGGCGGATCAAGGCTGAGCAGATGGAACCATGCGCTGCAGCCCTGCCTGAACTTGCAGCCCCCACCTGTGGGATCATCGCCCCCCCCCCGTCGTGCTGGTGAGCAGGGAGGGGGAGCCCGGCCCAGACATCCTGGGGGGTCCCTGGGTGGGGTTTTTGGGGGGATGTTTGGAGAATGAAGCAGTCCAAGACTGAGCAGAAAAGGCCCCTCGAGGGGACATCGGGGGGTGCCGGTGGCGGCTGCCGGCAGAGGCAGCCTGGAGGAGCAGAGCCCTGTGTCCCCCAGGAGCCCAAAGTGGGGAGCCCAGAGAGGGGGGAGCGCCGCCATTGGCGGGAGCCTCAAGAGCCTGGAGAGGGGCAGGGGGGACTCCTTGGAGCCGCTGCAGCCCAGAGCAGAGAATGAGGGGAGAAGGGAGCCCGGGAGCCCAAACAGCCCCGGCATCCCAAAGTGGGGAGATGGAAAACAGGGAACTTTTGGGATCGCTGGGTCTCCCAGCAGCCTGGGCAGGGCGGGCACCGAGGACAAGGGGGACCCCCAATCCAAGCGTGACCCCAGCAGCTGGGACAGGGGGGAACACTGTAACACCAGAGGCGAGGTACCTGGGAGGCTTTTTCAGGGCTGAATCTTGGTGTTTGGGAGGTTTTCTGGAGCCCAGATGTCCAGTGACTTGTAGAGATGGACTGGTGCAGAGGGACCTTCAAACTCACTGTGCTCATCCCTTGTTTTCCCCAAACCAGGATTTCCCATTGCCAACCCTTGGCAGGCTGTGAGGAAGAGGAAGATGCCCCGGGACACTGAGGCAGGTGAGGAGGAAGTCAGTGCCCCATTCCCCTCTGCTGCTCCATCTCCAGCCCAGCATGGCCCCCGGCTGCAGCTCAGCCCTGGGGGAATCTCCTTGCCCTTGCCTGTGGCACAGAGGCAAATCCCATCCTGTCCTTGTCCTTCCTCCCCCAGAGCAGGAGCTGAGCATGGAGAGCAGGGAGGACAAATGCCCATGGCAGAACCTGGTGGAAGAGGCCGTTTTGAGCAGCTCCACGGCGCAGGAAGGCAACGGGGAGGAAAAGCCCTGGAGATGCTGCACGAGGAGGGGCTGCAAACGCAGCTGGCAGGGATCTGAGGGGGAAACAGCCAGCCTGGGCCGGGAAGGCGGCCGGAGATGGAGCCAGAGCTCGGAGCTGGTGCTCCATGATGGGGAGAAGCACCACACGTGCGTGGAGTGCTGGAAGAGCTTCAGGTGGAGCTCTGAGCTGATCCAGCACCAGAGGACCCAGACCGGGGAGAGGCCCTACGAGTGTGGAGAATGTGGGAAGAGCTTCAGCCATAGCTGCCACCTGATCACGCACCAGAAGACCCACACCGGGGAGAGGCCCTACGAGTATTCCAAGTGTGGGAAGGGGTTTCAGACCAGCTCCCATCTCCTCCGACACTATCAGAGTCACACAGAGCAGAGGCCCTTCCGCTGCCCCGAGTGCAGGAAGGGATTCCAGCGCAACTCCCACCTCATCAGGCACCGGCGCATCCACACTGGGGAGAGGCCCTACGGGTGTCCCCAGTGTGGGAAGAGCTTCTCACAGAGCTCTCACTTGCCCCAACACCAACGGAGGCACCACTAAGGGAAGCCCTGCAAGTGCCCTGAATGCGGGAAGAGCTTCGTGCACTGCTTCTGCTCCATCCTGCACTGGAGGAGGCACTTTGGGCACCGCCCTGGTCACTTACATTCCTTGTGATCCATGCTGGGAACACACCTGGCTGCTTCTCTCCTTTTGGTTTGGCCTCAATTTTCTTTTGCTTCATCTTCATCCCTTAAAAACAGCCAAAACAGGGTTAAATGAAATAAATTGATCAAAGATGTCTAAAGTTCCACAATTTCAGAGGTTTTTAAGGGAGAATTGATGGTTTAGGGACAATATTCTGGAGGATTTGTGGGTTCTGTGGGGGGATTTTGGGCAGTGTTTTCCATCTCTTTGCGCTCCAAAAGCCAAGAGGGTTACCTCAAAACAACTGAATCCCACTGAAAACAACTGTTGCAGAATTTTGTTCAGACATGGCTTATAGAGGGGCCATGAAAATATACAGCTGGTTAAAAAGTAAAAGGCAGCTATAAGCAGCAAGTTCTCAGGCTTTTTCCTTAAACAATAAACACCGTGTCCTTGAGTAAAGTGATGAGAAAAAACATGATGGAAAACATGGAGGCCTTGAGAACAGTCAATAACAAGTCAACAACAGGATGAGAAAAACAAATGTTAGTCTCAACAAGAAACCACAGATATTGACAACAAAAGGAGGGGTTGGTGTGTAATCTGTAGCCAATAATGAGCTTGGGTTTTGCAATATGTATGAACTTTATTAACACTACAATAAACGTGTGTAAGCTGGATCAATAAATCAAACTCCGATTTATTGATCCAGCTTACACACTTTTATAGTAGTGTTAAACAACTGAATTTTAATTCATATGGGTTCAATCCCACATCAAAATAGCTTGTTCCCACCTTAAAATAAACTCAATCCCATGCCAAACTCACTTGATTCCACCGATGGCATGGTGAGATGGGGTGGGAAGGAGATTGGGAGAAGTGGGATCCCAATTTGGAGCGGTGGGATGGGGATTATGTGGGGCTGGCTGGTTGGGATGTATTTGATAGCAAATAAAACTTTCAGAGTTACTGATTTCTGTCCCTTTCATTTTCAGTCAGTTGCAGTTCTATTGGCAGAGTGCCACCTTCTAAGCTGATTGTGTTTGTGTCCTCCTTTCTCTCCTGCCTCTCTTTGCCTGCTCTTTTTCTCTCTCAGTGCCTCCCTTGAGCCAGGACAGCTGCCACCAAAGACCCTGCCCTAATTTAATTCCCAGTGCAGGAGCTACAACAGCCATGGGTGAAGTTCTGAAGGCTGGCAGTGAAATGTCACTGTAGGATCTTGCTCCACTTGGCTTTTGGCCCCTTCTTAAGAGCTTTGCCTTCAAGGGCAGGAATATCTTTTCCTGGCTGGGAAATAGAATTCCAGGTCCTTGGAGTGTGTGCTGTGCAGGACCATACAAACTGGGATCACGTGGACCAGGATTTCACAGGCTGGGACCATAGGGATTAGGAGCAGAGACTGGGATCATACAAACTGGACCATATGGACTAGGATGCTGCACCAGATCGATGTAAACCAAGGGGGTCCCGCCCTGCCTGGGGGTGCAGCCAAAGCTCCTTGGAACAAATGCAGAGTTTCAGGAGGGATCCCAATTCCAATCCCATTTCTAATCCCATTTCCAATCCTTTTGCCAATCTCAGAGTCATCCTGGCGCTGATCCTGGTCCCGGTGCCAGCTTCGATCTCCGTCTCAGTCCTGGAGCACTCCCAGTGCTGATTCTGGTTCTCGTGTCAATCTCAATCGCAGAGCGGTGCCGGTCCCCGTCTCTGTCTCGGTTTCAGAGCAGTTCTGGACCCAGTGCTGCTACTGGTCTTGGTCTCGGAGTGCTCCCAGTGCCAATCTCAGTCTCGGTCCCGGCCCCAGAGTGCTGCCGGTCTCGGTGCTGGTTCCGGTGACAGTCTCCATCTCAGTCCTGGTGGGCTCCTGGTCTCGGTCCTGGTCCCGGTCCCAGAGCAGTCCCGGTGCAAGTGCCAGGTTCCAGTCTCGTTCCTGAGCCCAGTCCTGGAGTGCTGCCAGTGCCAGTCCCAGTTCCAAAGCGCTCCTGTTGCTGGTCCCAGTGTCAGACTTTGTCCCAGTTCCAGTTCTGGTGCTGGTTCTGGTCTGGGTCTTGGTCCTAGTCCCGGTGCCGATCCTGTAGCGCTACCAATCCCAGTTCCAGTGTTGGTCTCAGTCTTGCTGCTGGTGCCAGTTCTGCTGCTGTGTTTGGTCTTGGTCCCAGAGAATTTAGGTCCAATTGGGTGATTTTAGGCCAATCTGGGCAGGTTTAGGGTGGGTTTCAGATCCCTTACAGTGATTTCAAGTCTTTTGGGGTGGATCTTATGCCCCTTTGGCTGATTTTATGCCAAATCTGGAGGGTTGAGGGTGGATTTTAGATCCCTTTGGATGATATAAACCCATTTGGGTGGGGTTTGGGCCTGTTTGAGTGGTTTTAGGAGGAACTGGGCAGTTTTAAGGTGGATTTTAGATCACTTTGGATGATTTTAGGCCTGTATGGTTGGATTTTAGGCATCTTTGGGTAATTTTAGGTTGAACCAAGCCTTCTAACGGTGATTTTAGTCCCTTTGTCTTACAGATGGCTAATGAGATGATTGGCTCTCGCAATTAATGGATGAATACTGTGTCAATATTAAGAGAAGCTTTACTGATGTGTGATTACGTTATTGCAGTCTGTTGTTTAGATGTCCTCTGTTCTCCCCACAGTCCCCTTTACCCCTATTGTTACCATCAGCCAGCCTGAGCCATCCAGGACAAGTGGAAAGAAGGCGAGTACAAAAACTTGTTTCTCGGGGAGGGGGCGTGGCATGACACAACCTGACCCTCCAATCAAGCTGCAAGAAAGCAGACTCCACCAATAAACAGCAAAGAAGAGTTGACTGACAGACTGTGGGAGGGGCCAGGGTTGGCTGATGCAATCCTCGGGGTATAAAAGATGGAGCGTCCATCTTGAGGATGAGCCAGGCACGTGGTAGGCAGCCACGAGGGAAGCTCCCAGGCCTGTTCTTCCTTACTTAGTCCTTTTCTTGTCATTTTTGTTAAGGTTGAATAAACCTTTTAAAATTTTCAAAGTCAGCAGTCGTTTCTCACAATAACCAAAGGTTCCTTTACTGGAGTTTGGTGCACAGGAGAAACACCAACCATATATTCTCAAGAGGTCAAAATGACACAAAATTTTACTGGCAAAGTACAGAAAATCAAGAAACTTTGGAAAAAGATTTAATAAAACATCTAATTCAACATAAAACACCATAGCAGTAACTTCCTTAACTCAGCCCGTTGCACCTGGAAACGTTTAACCACTTCAGTTGTTGAGGTACCAAAAAATGTTCCATATCAAGAGCATTAGAAGGAGAAGACAGAAAGACAGGAGGACAGAAGCTCTATAGAAAGAAATGCACATGGCTACCAACTGCTGGGGTTTCAGTGTGGATGAGACACAAACCGCAACCATGGAACCCTTGTGACACATCAAGGCCCCTCTGGAGCAAAGAAACCATTGCTGACAGAACAGAAACTCATGGAACCAAGAGCCATTGTGACAATGCAGATCCAAGGACACCATGGTGGCACTATGGAACCTCATGGGAGCAAAGAGACCATGGTGACACTCTGGTGCCTCACGGAATCAGGGGGACCATTGTGAAACTCAGGCCCCCTATGGAACCAAGGGCCAAGGATGAAGCTGTGGGGCCCATGGAACCAAGGAGCCGTTGTGACACAGCGGGGCCACAGGGAGCTGAGGGGCCATGGGGACATTGAAGGGCTCAGGGAAGCCAAGAGGCCATTGTGACACTGCAGAAGAAAAGAGAACACTGTGACACTGCAGGGACTCCTGGAATCAAGGAGACACTTGGGACACTGTGGGGCCCCATGGAACCAATGGGACAGGGAGCAGATGTGGCTAGTTTGGCCTCCCGGGGGCTGCTGGACAGGTCTGGCTGACCTTGGCATGTCCAGGGCTTCTCCTCATCTGCCCCTGAAGGACTGGGGCTCTGGGCTCTCCTTCCTATGGGAGAGAACTGTCCTGATCCTCCTCCAGGGGCCCATGGCCAAAACTGGGATTCCTTCTCCAAATTCCCTTACATGCACAGATTGTTCCCAGATTAAATCTGCCAGGAGAGACAGATCTGGCTGCCTTGGCTACCTGGGGCCACCTCTCATCTGCCTTTGAAATCCTGGGACCATCTGCTTTTCTTTCCTATAGGAAAAAACCATCCATCTCGACCAGGCACTCATGGCCAAAATTGGGCAACTGCCTCTGGAATTCCTTATATCCAAGGATAGCTCCCAGACAAAAGCTGCCAGGACTGACAAGTCTGGCTGGCCTTGACTTCCTGAGGACTGGCCCTCATCTG